AAAAAAAAAAAAAAGAGACCTAGTGGAGCTTGAATGGGCTGCTGCTGCTGTCATTTGTCATGATTGGTGTCGTACATTCAGTAACATGAGTATTGAAGTCTACCTCTGTGGCTACAGTTTATTTATAAAATTATTCTGATTTTGATTTTGAGTGATTGATGGGGACTGAACACAGGCCCTTATATTAGATAAACCCTCTATCAAGGAACTTCACCTCCAGCCCTGGAAATCTTACATATACTAATTAAAGAATATAAACCCAGTATAACCACTTTGAAAACTGGTTGGACAATTCTCAAAATGCCACTCCTCAGTACATAACTAAGGAGATCTTTATTTTTGCTTTTGCTATGTATCATAGCACTGCTGCTCTATTTGAACAGCAAATAATGTGAAATCCAAATGTCCAGTAACAGCAGAACAGATGAAGGGAAAAGTATTCAAACAAAAAGCATGGGCTTTTTTTGGCCAGGCATGGTGACACACACCTGTAATCCCAGCGGGGGGGGGGGGGGGGGGGGGGGCAGCGGGGCGGGGCAGGGCGCTGAGGCAGGACATCGCTGTTTTGAGGCCAGCCTGAACTGCACAGCAAAGCCCTGTCTCAAAAAAAAACAAAAAGAGAAAGAAGGTTGGGGGGGTGCATGAGCTTCAACTAAATCTATACAACTTTTATTTCTTTAAAACAAAATGACCGGGAAAAAATTTTGATCCTCACCAGAGCTAGAAAATGAATATATTTTTTCAAAGCTTTTCTATATTTGAAACACTTCATTAATAAAACATTGAACAAAAATTTCAAGATTAGCTTCAATTTTTCTTAGCCCAAATTCAGCATTTTGAGACTCACTTTTCTCCAAAGGCTTTTCTCCAAAATTCTGCAGCATCTGCTTTAGTGATCCTAAATGTGTCTCCTTGAAAGAGTCCACTTGGAAAGATGCCTTTCAGCTCTGCCAGCATGTGGCTAAAGATCAGGGACAGCTTGGTGAGGTTTCGCCTACAATGAGCAGAAACACAATAAGTAAACACATTGTTTTTACTCTAAATGAATCAAATTCACAACTTAAAACAAATTTAGGGCTGGGCTATACTCAGTAGTCCCAGCACCTGCCAAACATGTGAAGCCTTAGGTTCACTCTTTTTTTTGGGAGGGGGGGTTCACTCTTTTTTTGGGATTGAACTCAGATCCTTGGGCTTGCCAGGGAAGTGCTTATTCTACTGAGCCATCTCCTCGATCCTGGGGCAGGGAGGTGGGGAGGTTTCACTTTTAAGCATCATAAATATTTATTTGCTTGGGGCTAGGGAGATAACTCAGTGGAATAAGTGCTTGCCTGGCAAGAGCAAGGTCCTGAGTTTGATCCCTGGTACCACAAAACTTAAAAGAAAAAAAATTTGCTTACTTATTTTAGAGGTTACCTCAAGGTGAGTGTGGTGGCACAGAGCTGTAACCCCAGCACTTAGGAGGCTGAGGCAGGAGGACTACCACAAATTCAAGGTCACCCTAGGCTACACAGTGAGTTTAAAGCCAGCCTAAATTACACAGTGGAACTGTGTCTCAAACAATTAAAAATAACGTCTTCAAACATATTTTTTGGTTAATATTATTCAAAGTCTAGCACAGAGAGAATGGAGTATGCTACTGAAAATATTAAACAGTCAGTGATACTGTCTTTGTTGCAAGAAAGGCTTTAGAATGGCAAATGCAATGAAAGCCTGCAATAACCAGACCTCTTCCCATCTTCCCACACAAATAAGATAGAAAATAAGAGGGGGGGAACCATCACGGTCATACATCTTTAAATTTATTTATTTTTTTTAAATTTATTTATTTATTAACATTTATTTTGGGGTGTGTGTGTGTGTGT